TTAATCTTGTCTAATTGCAATGGCTAACACTTCCAGTACTATGTTGAACAGGAGTGGTGAGAGTGGGCATCCCTGTCTTGTTCCTGTTCTTAGGGGAAATGATGTTAGTTTTTGTCTATTGAGTATGATGTTGGCTGTGGGTTTGTCATATATGGCTTTTATTATGTTGAGGTATGATCCTTCTATTCCCACCTTGCTGAGAATTTTTATCAAAAATGGGTGTTGGATTTTGTCAAATGCTTTTTCTGCATCAATTGATATGACTGTGGTTTTTTTCTTTCAGTTATAACTGTAATTTCTTAAACTGTAATTTTAAAACAACAATCTAGTTTTAGATATGGATGTCTTTGAATAAAGATGTGTTTGATTTAATTGTGTCAATTGACCTTTTCCAAAAATATTTTGTTTCCCTTTCATTGCTTTGCTACCTTACAGTTATTATTATTTTGGAATAAGTGTGTGTCAAACTTTTTTTCTTTAGTTTTCCCAAATGGCATTCTTATCTTATTGAGTTTTAATTTTCAGTATTTTTAGTGGATTTGGGGGTGGGGGGAGTGGGCCGAGGAAGTGAGCCATAAATTTTAATTAATTGTGATGATTTTGAAACCCTGTACAATTATTAATTTAATACAATTAAAATATCAATTAATAATCTATTTACATGTAGCTTTTCCAAGCCTAATCATGAATCTACTCTCCTGTTTTTTCACTTTAGTATGTCTGCTGAGCAATAACTGTTACCTTGCATTGTTTGTCAGATAACTAATTAGCTAAACCCTTATTGTCCATTATATTAAGATTCAAGCATACCTGAAGTATTTCATTGCCTGAGATAATTTTCTTTTAATGGTATATGTACGTTCTTTCCTTTTCCAGGTCATCCTGTTCAGTTCTATAGCATGAACAGACCTGCCTCTCGCCATACTCCCCCAACAGTAGGGGGCTCGTTGCCCTATCGACGCCCTCCTTCCATCACCTCACAAACAAGCCTTCAGACTCAGATGAATGGAGGACCTTTCTATAGCCAGAATCCAGGTTAGATTTTCTTTTGCAAATTATAGAACATACCTGGTTAAAAATCTTCAATCACAGAGAGAAAAAACCCTTATTTACAAGCCATTACCACATGCTAGGTGGTTAGTACTTGTTTTTTGAATAAATGGAGGAGTGAATACAAGGTTACTAATATTGTATTTTCCATTTCCTTTTTTTTAACTCAATAATGGTTTCCATGTAAAGTTGTAGAACTTAATTTTTTGAACAGAATCTTTTTGAATGTGCTAGTGATTATTTGCTTTTAAAAATAATAGCGCGGTAAACAATATTTTCTTCCTATTTAATCAGATATCCTTGCTCTATGAATAGCAGATAATGAAAATTAAGTGTACATGGACAGAGTTTATAAGTGGCGAAGTAAAAGGGACATTTTTGAAGCTGCTCTGTGCAAGGGCGTTGTACACTCTTATTCACTTCTCCTACCAATCCTATGGGAAAACGGACTTGGACAGATTGATTCAGATAGAGCAATCACCTTTCAGTTGCATGCATACAGAAAACGTAATCTCACATGTATTTAATAGTATATGTCATAGTTTTTGCTTCTTCTCCAGAGAGGGTAAGAGCACATCTTAGACTTTATGACTGTTGTGGACATGGTTTGTCAGCCTACTATGTTTTTCCGGATTTTTGTCAAGAGGCCAGTCAGGCTCTAGCTCAGGGGTCCTCAAACTTTTTAAACAGGCGGCTAGTTCACCGTCCCTCAGACCTTGGAGGGTCAGAGTCCGAGAGTGTGGCGCACATTCCACAGATACGGGCCCAGGACGAGTCTGCTGCTAAGCAACAGGCAGCTGCGGGTGTTTGCGGCAAGCCGCATGTGGCCCGTGGGCTGTGGTTTGAGGACCCCTGCTCTAGCTGGTTTGGCTCAGTGGATAGAGTGTTGGCCTGCAGACTGAAGGATCTCAGGTTCAATTCCGGTCAAGGGCATATGCCCGGTTGCAGGCTTGATCCCCCAAGTAGGGGATGTGCAGGAGGCAGCTGATCAGTGATTCTCTCTCATCATTGATGTTTCCCCCTCTCTCTCTCTCTCTCTCTCTCTCTGTCTGTCTCTTTCTGTCTCTCTCCCTCTCACCCCCACTTCCTCTATGAAATCAATAAATATATACCTACACTAATAAAAGAGAAACATGGTAATTGGCGTACGACCGCTACCCTTTTCATATTG